CAACCAAAGGTATATGAGAAAATCTAAAACCCTATATATGAAAAGAACACTAGAAAACATGCTTTACCTAAAGCAAAAACTCTGCACTTTTCGTATGGCTGAAGGTACCTCTATACTTACACATCTTGATACTTTTGATTCTCTTCTTATGGATCTAAGTAACATAGATGCTGAAATCAAAGATGAAGATCAAGCTATGTTATTGCTTGTTTCCTTACCCAGTCGTTTAAACATATAAGAAATATTATACTTTATGGAAAGGATAATATCTCTTATAAAGATATCAAATCTATTTTGAAATCAAAAGAACAAATAGATAGAGATATTACTGGGGAAACTAGTGGGAACCTAGGGGAAGGCTTATTCATAAAAGGTAGATCCAATAAAAAAGATTCAAGTAGTGAGAAACATAAATCAAGGTCAAAATCTAGATATAGAAATGTCATGTGCAAATATTGTCATAAGAAAGGTCACATTATTTCTGAATGCTTTAAATTGAAAAACAAAGAAAAGCATACAGAAAAGAAAAATGAGCACAAAAATACTGACACTGCCGAAGCAAGTGTAGCTGCTGATGAGACTGAGAGAACTATTTTTTAGCAACTAATAATAGTTTCAAATCTAACAATGAGTAGATTTTAGATTCGGGTTATTCTTATCATATGTGTCCCAGTCGGGATTAATTTACCACATATGAATCTATTGGAGGTGGAGTTGTCTTAATGGCCAACAATGCTGCCTGCAAAGTTATTGGAAAAGGTACAGTCCGAATCAAAATGCACGATGGTGTGGTGAGAACTCTCACCGATATTAGCATGTTCCTGACTTGAAGAAAAATCTCATCTCTTTGGGCACTCTAGAATCTCTTGGATGCAAGTACACAGGTGAAGGTAGCGTTCTGAAAATTTCTCATGGTGCTCTTGTGATCATGAAAGTACGCAGATCTGGTACGTTGTATACTCTTTTGGGATCTACTATTACAGGTGCTGCTGCAGTTTCAATATCAGATAAATCAGGTTCTGACATCACCAAATTGTGGCATATGCGATTGGGGCATTTGAGTGAAAAAGATCTTCCATCCTCAGCAAAAGAGGTCTCTTATGTGGCCAAAGTACCGAAAATATAGAGTTCTGTGAATATTGTGTGTTCGGGAAGCAGAAAAGAGTCAGCTTCAAATCTCCAGCAATTCATAGAACAAAAGGTACTTTAGATTACATTCATTCAGATCTTTGGGGTCCTTCACGTACCCCATCAAAAGGTGGTGCCAAGTATATGTTAATTTTTGTTGATGATTATTCAAGGAAAGTTTGGGTTTATTTTCTGAAAAATAAAAGTGATGTTTTCTTAAATTTCAAACAATAGAAAGTTTTGATTGAGAAACAAACAAGAAAACAGGTTAAGCGGCTTAGAACAGATAATGGCTTGGAATTTTGTAATGATGAATTCAACAAATTTTGCAAGAATGAAGGAATTGTTCGACATCGTACTGTGAGAATGACACCTCGGCAAAATGGTGTGGCAGAAAGGATGAATAGAACTCTTTTGTAAAGGGCTCGTTGCATGATTTCAAATGCTGGGTTGACAAACGCCTTTTGGGCAGAAGCTATCTCTACATCTTGTTATATTGTCAACCGAGCTCCTTCTGCACCTTTGAACTTTAAGACTCCAGAGAAAATGTGGTCAGGTACTCCTGCTAATTATTCTGATTTAAAGATATTTGGTTGCCCTGCATGCATGCATGTAAATGATGAAAAATTAGAGCCAAAAGGCTAAAAAATACATTTTCCTTGGGTATGCATCTGGGGTGAAAGGATACCGACTATGGTATCCTGATCCTACGACACCAAAATTTTTAATTAGCAGAAATATAACCTTTGATAAATCCTCTATGTTACATTCTAGAAAAGAGTCTTCTAGTTCTTGTAATACAGATAAAGGAAAGAGTACACAGAACCAGGTGAAGATTGAGATTGGCATTCCTTCTGAGCCAAGCTCATCAACTTTGGAGCAAAATTCAGTTGAAACTCCTAAAGTTGAGACAAAAGCTGAAATTCCTGAAGTTGAGACTCCTGAAGTTGAACCAAAAGAAGAGGAGTATTCTATAGCCAAACATAGACCAAGAAGAGAAGGTAAACAACCATTAAGGTTTGGAGATTATGTTGCATTTATTTTTTCAGTTGCACAGGAAACTGAAGAAATTGGAGAACCATCAAAATATTCAAAAGCAGTTTCTGGTGCTGACTCAGCCAAGTGACTGATTGAAATGAATGAAGAAATTGAGTCTCTCCACAAGAATGGTACTTGGTCTCTTGTGAAGCCGTCATCAGGAAAAAGAATTGTTGGTTGCAAATGGGTCTTCAAGAAAAAAAGATGGCATTCCAAGGGTTGAAGATGCGAGGTATAAGGCACGATTAGTTGCAAAGGGCTATAGTCAGGTACAAGGAGTTGATTTTAATGATATTTTCTCACATGTTATTAAACATAGCTCTATTCGTGTCTTGCTTGCCTTCGTTGCTATGTATGATTTGGAATTAAAACAACTTGATGTTAAGACAACTTTCTTACATGGCGAACTTGAGGAACAAATATACATGCATCAACCCGAAGGATTTGAAATTGAAGGAAAAGAAGATCATGTTTGCTTGTTGAAGAAATCCTTGTACGGATTAAAGCAGTCTCCAAGACAATGGTATAAAAGGTTTGATTCCTTTATGTTGGGTCATGGTTATTCGAGGAGCATATATGATAGTTGTGTTTATTTCTGAAAGTTAAATGATGGTTCATTTGTGTACCTATTATTATATGTTGATAACATGCTCATTGCTGCTAAGGATTTAACAGAAATTCACAACTTGAAAAGTCAGTTGAAAAGTGAATTTGAGATGAAAGATTTGGGAGCAGCTAAGAAAATCCTTGGCATGGAGACCAAAAGAGATCGAAAAGCTAACAGGCTATTTCTGACCCAGAAGAAGTACTTGGAGAAAGTATTGGAGAGGTTTGGCATAAAAGATGCTAAACCAGTTAGTACCCCTCTTGCTGCTCATTTTAAGTTATCAACTGCTCAGTCCCCGCAGTCAGAGGAAGAAGAGAGGTATATGGCACAAGTTCCTTATTCCAGTGCAGTCGGCAGTATTATGTATGCAATGGTTTGTACACGTCCAGACATTTCACAAGCAGTGAGCGTGGTAAGCCGGTATATGGCTTGCCCTGGTAAAGCACATTGGCATGCTGTGAAATGGATTCTCAGATACTTGCGAGGTACTTCAAACACATGTTTGGAGTTTGGGAGAAATACTAACACTTTGGTTGGTTTTGTAGACTCAGATTATGCAGGTGATCTTGACAAAAGAAGATCATTGACGGGCTATGTATTTTGCATCGGTGGTTGCGCTATTAGTTGGAAAGCTATATTACAACATGTAGTAGCTTTATCTACTACCGAAGCAGAATATATGGCAGTGACCGAGGCGATCAAAGAAGCTTTATGGTTGAAGGGTCTATTTGCGGAACTCAGTTTACACCAAGGTGGTATTAACATTTTCTGTGATAGTCAAAGTGCCATTCACTTGACTAAAGATCAAATGTATCATGAGAGGACGAAGCACATTGATATAAAGTATCATTTCATCTGAGAAATCATTACTGAAGAAAAAGTCTATGTTCAGAAGATCAACACTAGAGACAATCCCGCAGATATGTTCACAAAACCTCTTCCAGTATCCAAGTTCAAGCTTTGTCTGAACCTGATTGGCATTTACGAAGAATGATTTTGCCCATTGGGGTTTTTGCGAAGAAGGTGGAGCAAATTTATTATATATAAGCCGAAATTAGGCCAAGGTGGAGATTTGTAATATGGCCAAATTTTCATGACATTTGTCATGACATAATATCCATTATAACAAAATTTGTGGATCATGACATTTGTCATGACATAATATCCATTATTAGGCCAAGAATTTCTTGCTATAAATAAAGGAGCTTCTCCTCATTTGCAAACACACCAATTCAAGAGCTTTTCACTCTTGTCTTTCTTTCTCTCCTTTATTTCATTATAGAGTATTTTGTAAGAGAGTAAGCGTTGGGAAACACTTGTGTGAACCCTTTCTTTGGAGTGATCTTGTAAGGTTATTCTCTTGGGGTATTTGGGACTAATTAGAGTATTTACTCTAATTTTGTACTCTCTTTTGTACTCTTGTTTGTACAGTGAAATTGCTCCTCTCCGCTTGTGGACGTAGGTCACCTTGACCGAACCACGTTAAATTTGTGTCTTCTTTATATTCTTTAATTGCCGTTATTATCAACTTCCATTGTCTTTGTTATTGTCATTATACCGTTGTTTGGCAAAATTCCGCACTACCCAGGTTCCGATACTAACACGTCGTCTATTACACAGTCGACTGTTTGACATGCTTTGATTCAGTGCTGAGGTACACACCTAGCATTCAGATAAAGATCTGTGCAGAAGTTCAAAAAGAAATTTCGATAGATTTTTCGACATCATCTTTGCAGCAAGCAACTACCACGAATTTTGATTTATGGAACCGACACTAAATTGTTTGACCGTACAATTTAACTGCTCCCTCGTTTTGCACTTCATTCAACCGAAAAGAGGACAGAGAATGAGAAGATCATGAATCATCTAAGAGATGCTAAGCAATAAAGGAACCTTATCGTTTCAACAAATAGCACAAGCGAGGATTTGGCTCATTTCCTGACGAGCATGCAAGCTTTTCATGAATCAATTCTAGTTTTTCACATGTGGGAGGTTTTTTATTGTCGTGGATATTCACTTTCAAGAAATCAATGCCAAATATCAAATTTTCAACGCAGTCTATCACTCAAGAACTTGCTTTGGAAAAAGAATTGTTGAAGAGCTTGACCAACCCTAGAGGAAATCCTTCGAGGTGTGTTATGCAGGAGCATCCTGTATAAAATGGGTTGCTCTTAGCTCAGTTTATGCAGTGGAAGACTACGTACATTTGCTTCAATAGAGGAGGAAAGAGCTAAAAGAATTGGTCTGATATATCAGGACATTGGAGGCAAGGAACAAGAAACAGATTACTCCAGCAACAAGAAACAGGTACTAAATCGTTCAGACGAGAACCGTACAAACAATTACAGTACATAGTAGATAGTACATCAGTCTTTAGCCTATCTGACTAATTTTGACCCCAGAACTCCCCTGAAGCGTGCATGCTGAGGGGAACTGAAATTATGAAGAATGCATTCATCTTTTGCTCTTGCTTTCATCTTTTTCTCGCTCTCGCTTCTTGTATAACCGCTCAAGAACTCGTTTTGCCTCACATTGCGGAAAGTTAGCAAGGTCATAGTAATGTGGTGCAATATCAACCAACCTGAAGAAAATATCAAAAAAGAAATAAGAGATTAACAAGGCAAAATTAGTCAACCGTAGGCTATATGATCAAACCATTAGTTCAAACAATACATTTGTCCATTTGAACAAAAGGTCTGTTGGAAAGAATGTGCTAGTTTCAGCCAATTAACAGTACTCAAGTAGATTCATTACTATCATGATTAATTCGAGAACGTCTTGCTGACAAAAATTCAATTTCCAAACAAAGGTAAGAAGTTCTAGAAAGTTGCGACTCAAAAAAGGTTCAGGGCATAAAAGGTTGATTTCTGCTGGAGTGCTTGAAGTATCCTCAGACTAGTAGGCACCACTACTTAGACAAAAATAATTATCTTTTTTCTTTACAGGACGGTCAACGGGCAGGAGAGATGTTCTCAGTCCTAATATAAAAGGAAAGAGAGGGCAAGTACTTACTAAAGCATCAAGAATCAAAAGATAAAACAAATGATAATTACCATTCACCACGAATATCAGTCACAGTACGGATGAAATTCCTGCTTGTCAAGACATATTCATTATAGATAACCCATTCTGGCTTATGATCCAGGCAATTTGAAGGNACAATTTGACGGATGCAAGTGAACCACCTGTAACAACACAGATAAAAATGACATAATAGTGAGAAATCAATAGCATTATGGCCCATTGAAGCTCTTAATATGAGTTGCTTCCAGAACTAGTGTAGATACTTACTTGATTGTCTTTAACAGTCAGATAGTGCCCAGTACGCTCTAGGTGAGCAACCTGCATGAAATATCCAGCTAACATAGCCTTTCTTATGTTTATGTAGAAGTCGCGACTGTTGAAGTCTGTGCTGCATAACTTGAGGTTGAACCTGGCCATTATGCGAGAAAGCTGTTGCCTCACATTGTCAGCTGATTTGAGAGCCCTCTGATTGATGAAATTCTCGTAGCACCATTGAGGGTCTTCCGCTATACCATTACCATCAAAGTCATTATCAGGGTTATAAGGGTATTCTAAATCTGAATTTGTTTGTTAAGGACATATAATGTCTACAGAGACTGAATACGGATACTTACTGTTCTGCTTGTAGGCATGATACACATTCAGCAACGTCAAATGATCCCCATCTATGTGACCGAACCGATTCTTTGCTTCATCTGCAGCTTTCTGAGCCTCCCTAGGCCGGACAAAGCAATTGGGTACTAGAGAAAAAATTGGTTATCACAGGGGAGGCCCACTGTAGGTCAGCAGATGCATAGAGGCGAGACGACACCATTTTCTTCATGAGAGAATACTGAGAAACTGCAACTACCTCCATCAGCACTTACTTAGAAATCTATGGCACATGCCAACCGGGGGCATAGAACCCAGACAAGACAGTTGCTGATGACAACCTAAGAAGACACATGTAAGTAACCCCCACACACATGCACCTGTGTGCACATGTTTTGCAGTTACACACATGATATCATATGCATAGACAAATGTTTATGCACATGAACAAGGCATGGTGAAGCGGACCGACATTCCCATGCCTGACCAAACTCTGACATAGAACAAAGACAAGACACGACGACCACCAAAAAGGAAGTAAACTGGAAAGAAACCGTACCTGATAGCATGGCAGATATTGAGAGGATTTCATTGGAGCAGTTGAATTCTGAGCTGACAACAAGCATTTTTGCCATCTGAGGATCAAGAGGAAATTCACTCATAATCTCACCCAACCTAGTCAAGTTCCCCTCATCATCCAATGCTCCCAAGTAATTCAAAACCTCCAGTGCTCTCATCAATGTCTCTGGGGCAGGAGGATCCATAAAATCAAAATGAACCAGGTCATCAATACCTAACTTCTTCAAAGTTAGAACTGTATTGGCCAAATTTGACCGAAGTATTTCTGGATAGGTCTGTGGTTGAAGGTCGTTATGGAAACTTTTCTCTGTGTAAAGTCTAAAGCATTTCCCTGGCTGCGTTCTTCCAGCACGTCCTGATCTCTGGTGGGCACTGGCCTTCGAAATAGGAGACACCAACAAAGATTCAACACGCACCCTTGGGTTATAAACTTTTTGTTTAGCAAATCCCGGATCTATGACATAAACAATGCCATCAATTGTCAAAGATGTCTCTGCAATGTTGGTTGACACAACGATCTTCCTGCCAGCAGGACCACCCTCCACCACCGGGGGTGGGGCTGATTCAAATATCTTTTGCTGCATAGCTGGGGGAAGTGTAGAATAAAGAGGCACCGCTTTAACCGGGCCCACTTGATCACCCAAATTACTAACCTCCTTATTGATTTTGCGACAAGCATCTTCAATCTCCTCCTCTCCGGTAAGGAAAACAAGTATGTCACCAGGAGGTTCACACGTGTGTATCTGCACCACAGTCCGAATGGCAGCCTCGAGATAATCTCTCTCAGGCTCCTGAGTGTAGAAAATTTCCACAGGATGAAGCCTTCCAGGCACTTTCATGAGAGGCGCACCAAAGAAGTAACCCTGAAACTTCTCTGCCTCAAGTGTGGCACTCATAACAACAAGCTTTAGGTCTGGTCTATTTTTCAACACCTCTTTAAGAAGCCCAAACAGGACATCTGTTGCCAAAGTTCTTTCATGGGCTTCATCCAGAATGATTACTTTGTAGCGTTCCAATAGAGGATCTGCCATTGCTTCTCTTAAAAGCATACCATCTGTTAAGTATCTGCCACACACAGAGAAATAAATTACTAATCACTCAGCAACTTGAGAAGGCAAGAAAACATTTTTTGATACGGCTAGATGATATATGCAAACGGATAAATATTTACAAGCTACATTATTAAAGTATCTCAAAAAAGGTTTATCATGTTAACCTACTTACTTTAAAACAGTTCTAGCACTACTGCAGTCTTCAAAACGGATGCTATATCCAACTTCTTCCCCAATTGCAACATCCATCTCTTCAGCAACTCGACGAGACACGGACATTGCAGCCACCCTCCGAGGTTGAGTGCAACCAATCATATACTTCCGGCGCTTATCAGCCGTCTCAACTTCAACAGCATCTAAAACAAACTGCGGAATCTGTATATACAAAAGCAAATACTTTAGAAGCAGCTCGAGAAAAAATAACTTACTCTCTTGCCAAAGAGGGGGCTTTATCATGGGTAACTGAGAAGTGAGAACATAAACATGAACAAGCAATTGATGAAGCACACTGAGTATAGAAGAACACACGGACTAATAAGGGGTTAATTTTGCAAAAACACACAGCATCACAAGTTTCTTGCTTCAAGGACTCAAAAAGAGCAAGGCAACTAAACTCACAATAATCCACTGGGTTTCAAAGTTGGAAACGATGGATGCCTGAGTTATAAAGAAAAACCCCAATAGAACCCAAATAGTATCTAATCCTGGTAACAGATTACTGGAGAATGAGACAGAGCTAATTTCTTATTAAAAAGTTGCCAGCTTTTATTACTTTTTTTTCATCTTTGTTGTCAAGAGAACCTAGTTATGCGGGGATGGAAAATTATAGCCAGGTTGACAGCTAGGCAAAAAAGTCAATTATCAAATCCTATAAAGATTGACTATAGCAGAACCAACTTTCTTAGGGACGTAGATTGTTTTATGTTAATTGGATAGTTAGACCTAATACCAAGTTTTGCACAAACCTATATCATAATAAGCTTCTTGCATCACGCACTCAACCACTCAATAAATCAATCAGCTACACCTCAATCCTGAACTAGTTAGGGTTGGCTATGTACATACTCTATATTCATAATACTCTATTTGCACCCATTTCATTCCTATATTTCTTGTACCACCAAAAAACAACGAAAGAAACTCTATAAAGAGTCAGGGAATCGAATACAGAGCAACATTGCTAGAATATATCATTCTATCACACTGAGTAAATCCAAACAGTATCGAACTCCGTGTAACATATTACTAGAAAAATGAACTGTCACGTCTAATTTTCAGGTCCAGAATAGCCAAGCAATCAACTCAGCCAGAATCCCAAATTAGTTTAGCCCGGGAATATGAATCTTCTAAACATTTGAGACCATATAACTCCTTGTAAATAATTTATGTTCTAAAGCAAAATACAGGTGTGTTTGTTTTGAATGAATATACTTTTCAGAAGAAACTTTATCTCACTACCTACCATCTCAAAACTTTAGAAACTATCTCAAATGGACTTTAGCAGAACCACATAAGCAAAAAAAGTCACTTTTCCCCTTTTAATGGAAAATATAATTCAAAGAACATATTTTTTGGTGTTAGGTTGCTAGAGAATAACTTACTTCTTTCGCTTCATACCAAACACACCTAAATGTTAACACCTTGATTGGATGGTTGTTACCCATTGTATTGTATTGTATTATTATTCTAAAACAATGTTTGTTTTGATTGTTTAGTTAAAATTGGTTGTATTGTATTGTTAAATCCATTGTTTCGGAACAATGAAAAGTCCCATTTTTTGAAACAACCGATTTGGTGTGGTGGGATTGTTTCCTATTTTTCTTTCCAATTATGCCCTCACTTATTACTTTAGAATTATATTTTACCCTTTACCTTTTTTTACACTCCAAATCTACAACATTTAACCTACTTTGTCTTCGTTCTTTTTTTTCTTCCGCCGCTTACTGTTCCCAACTCCAATGTCAAAGGTAGTAAGAATAGGTTTTGCCTTCTTTTTGTTTCGTTTTTCTCCTACTTTGATTTTAACTCCAATTCTAATTACTTTAATCTCTAATTAGTTGTATACTATTGGTTATTTTCAAGTGTGCAAAATGTTAGTTATTTATTTTTGTTCCTTTGCTATGCCAACTGCACGGTGTTAGCTTGTTTCTCTATCATCGTCCTTTATTATTTTTTGTTCTAATGATAGTAAATCTTTTGACTTTAGTAGAAAATGATTTTCTTAAATTATTTTTATGCGTAATTCTTGATAAATTTGATATTTAAAATAATTAGGGATATTTTAGTAAACTTATCAATTAAGTACAGTACGATCCAGTCAAACCAAACAGCAAAATGTTATTTAACAACCGCAAACAATACAATCTATCCAAACGTTATATTCATAAAACAATACGATACAAATACAATGGATAACAATGATCCAAACAGAGTGTAAGTATGCCTCAATTCCAACTAGTTATCAATCAAAGTGCAAAGAACTATTAGCAAATAAAAAACGAGGTTAGGACACTAGAATTACTAACCTGAGTGGTTTTACCACTACCGGTTTCACCAACCAAAATTAGGGTTTGATTAGATTTTAAAGCCTGTAAAAACTCCTCCTTTTGATGCCAAACCGGAAGAGTCTTCCTTTTCTCCAATATCTCATAGAATCTCTGTGAGTAAGGCTTCCCGTTCCACTTATTAATCGAAGGCGTCATGCTACCGTTTAAGCTTCCAACATTCACTTTCTTCGCTGGCATGTCATCCACCACATCAAACAAGCTTACTTTCCTCTTCCGCTCTGTTCCCATCCAGAATATCTAAAATCCAGAACGAGTTTTCGAGTCTCCGATGAAACAATTGCAGGGACCGGGAGGAAATCGGAGAATACGCGACTAGGATTTTAGGTTTCCGGTCGAAAGAGAGGACTAGGGTTTGAGATTGTGGAATGGATATATACTGGAGAAACTTTCTCGCTTCTATTTCTAAACTTTCACCGCATTGTTTCAGACTCTGAAACGGTTTCGCGGGCTTAGGCCCATCCATTGTTCGCCGCCTCTTTATTATCGTGTATACCATTGACTTGGCCCAAGCCCACTACTAAAACACTAAGTGATCTTATTGAGCAAACATCATTGTTAGCTCCGAAACTATTTACATTCGGTAATCGTAAAAGTATATAAAATTTATATACTTTTTATAAATAATATACAGAAATATATGTATATATATATATATATATACAAAAAAAATTATTTTCGACTATTATTTTGAGCGTGGCTATATACTGTCATTTTTTCGATTTTCTTACTTGATGCCAGACCCGACCCAACCCAGTCGGTTAGTTGAGTGCGGTTAGACTATGGTATTTTTGAGAAATTAATTTAGTCACCCGTTCAAAAAATATCCGAAAAAAGTATATATTATTCACAGTCAGTGTATAAAAATAAATATTGCCTACCAATTGTAAATATTGTTGGTATATAACATCCACGAGATTTTTCAGTTCATTTTAAATAGAGAAATTTTCAGAAACTACTATTGTTTAGTGGCTATTAACTTCTTATAGCTACCATATACATAATTACTTCTTATAGCTACTATTTAGTTGTTACGCGACTCTATTCGTTGTATTCGCGCTATTGTATTCATGAATACAGTAGCAGAATTCGTCTAAAGAATAGGAGAGTCCAGTTGTGCAACTATATTCGTTGTATTCGCACTACTGTATTCATGAATACAGTAGCAGAATTCGCTTAAAAATAGGAGAATCCGACTGTTTAATAACAGAAAGAGGATCAATTAGCGTGTATCACTCCTAATTTAACTCAACAAAATTAATTTAACGTAAAAATTCGCTGCTATTGTGTTGTATTCCATGTATTCGCGCGACTGTATTTATAAAATACAGTGAGGTAATCAAGAAATAGGGTATATACCGTTCTATTCAATTCGACTGTATACATTGAATTCAATTCACATATATTCATTATTCACTATTATACATTGTATTCAATTCACCATATTCAATTCGGTTGTATTCAAACAACAAAAAATCACAAAACACAATGATTTTCGGTTGTATTAAAAAAATACAGACCTTCAGAATACATAAATACATGCAAAAAAATAATTTACTTCTACAAAAATACAATGTATTTGATTGTATATGTACAGAATAGCATCTTCCACAGGTGTGGACACATAAATAGGAGCACTCAAAGCATCATAAGCTACAACCAAATATAAAGCAAAATAGGATGACATGTATGAATAAATAGAACCCGGTTCAAATAGAACTGAAGCATATCTACTGCAAACTGAAATAGTACATGTGATAATATCGTCATATGACTCAGCCTCAGGCCTGGCTGGAAAAGCATAACATCGGGGCTGAGCCCCACCACTCTGAACCACGTCCCTGGGACGGCCTCTAGCTGGCTGGCCTCCACTTCTAATGGCCTGACCTTCACCTTTAACAGTCTTTCCTCTACCTCTGATTGCCTGACCCCTGCCTCTGGCTGGCTGAGCAGACAGTGCAACAACTGGTGCCGGGACCATGGCACGAGAACCCTGATGCTGTGGCATGACGCCCAATAATCTCGGACAGGTCCTCCTGATATGCCCATAACCACCACACTCGAAACATCCATCCTGGTGTTGTGGCTGCGAAAACTGAGATTGACCCGAATGGGCCGGATAACCAAGGTAATAACTCTAAATAGGAGGTGTACTGATAGGAGATGGTAGTGCACTGTAGGCTGGTTATCCGGAATGAGGCACATAAGGACCACGACTCCCTGAAACACTGTGGGATGCCTGAAGTGCTGAATGAAACGGCCTAGGAGGATGGCCTTTACCAAAAGTACCCCTGCCTCTATATGAGGCACCATGGAACCCATCGGAATGACGAGGTCTCTTATTAGACCCCTGACCTCCCTGTGCAAGAACCATCTCGACTTGCCTGGCGACATTGGCAGCCGCCTGAAAAGAAATCTCACCCCCAGTCTCCTTAGCCATCTGCAACCTGATAGGCTGAGCAAGTCCCTCAATTAACCTCCTCACCCTCTCTCTCTCGCTAGGAAGTAGAAGAAGAGCATGACGGGCCAAATCCATAAAACGGGTCTCATACTGAGTAACAATCATATTGCCCTATTGGAGATGCTCGAACTGACGATGATACTCCTCTCTCAATGTGATAGGGTAAGAAACGGAGTAGGTTTGGCATGATTTGGACGTTCAGTTGTGAAAATAGAAGTTTTAAAGTTTTTTTGATAATTTCATTTGATTTGGTGTCTGATTTGTTGTTCTAGGCATTATTTTGGTGTTTTGTTCATGTTCGCCTAAGCGAGTTCGTATGAGATTTTTTGACTTGTGTGCATAATTGTCTTAGAGCACCGAGGGCTTGGGTGAGTTTCAGATAGGCAACGGGTGGTTTGAAACTTAAAAATCTGGTTTTTTGTGCTTCAGATGTTATCTAGTGTCTTCTTCTTCGCGTTCGTGAAGGTACTCTCGCGAACGCAAAGAGTGAACTGGGGCAGGGTGATTTTCTTAATCATGAACGCGGTAGCTGGGTCGCGAACGCGAAGCAATGGGTGACTTACCCTTCACGAACGCGAAGCTTTAGGGACCTAGGGGAGGGGTCAGTTATTCTTCTACGCGAGCGCGAGCATTGGCTCGCGAACACGAAGGCCAGGAGGGCAGCCTTTGCGAACGTGACGGAGGACTCGTGAATGCGAAAGCCACTCGGGCTGCTGCTCATCGCGAACGTGGCAGGCACTTCGCGAACGCGAAGAAGGCCTAACGCCTGTGACTTAAACGGAACAGTAACAGGATTTTCCCAAAATTTCATAAACCTTCCATTAGAACTCGGCCTAGGAGCGATTTTGCAGAGAAAACTCAACATCAATTCATAGGTTTGTACTCTTTAACTCATTTTCTTCCATTTCTAACATCACCCATTAATTCCTAGCCCTAATCTTTGTTCTTTCATGGTAGAAAACTAGGGATTTAGGAAAAATTGGGGGGGAGGGTTGCAAATTGAGGATTTAGACATTAATTTGGGGTCGGATTTTGAAACTAGTTACATAATCGGGCTCGGGGGTGAATGGGTAAATAGATTTTGGTCCGAACCTCGATTTTTTACCAAGCAGGCCCGGGGTCAATTTTTTTTACTTTTGGGAGAAAGTTTGGGAAATCCAAATTTATGCATTTTAATTGATTTCTTTAGAAATATTTGATATTATTGTGTCAATTGTGGTTAGATACGAGTGTGCTGGAGGCGAATTCCAGAGGAAAATTTGTTATTGAGCATTGAGTGGCCTTTGGAGCGAGGTAAGTATTGTGTCTAACCTTGACTTGAGGGAATTAGGAACCCTCAGATTATGTATTATATGAATTTCATGTGAGCGGTGTATATGCGAGATGACGAGTGCTTATGCGCCGCCGAATTAACTGTTTCCCTGTTTTCCCCGCTTTTCTTTAATTATCTCTTTCCCTGCCTTAATTGTTATATGCTCTAAATGTATTTCCATGCCTAATTGCTACCTGTTAATCAATGTCTTCTCTTGTTTATGATATTAGATCTTTTCATAGTTTCATAATCTCCTGCTATTTGCTCAAGTTGGTTTATTTGCACTTCCTAGTTGTAAACTTCTAGCCTAGTCTCGATGTGTAGTATTACTTATGTAGATCCTCATGTTGTACCAGGTTTCCTATTTGGTTTAGTTTGGTATTTATGGATTGTAAAGTCTTTCCGTGATTTGAATTGTAAATTTTATTGTGCACCTTGAGTACTTGGTATTGATATAGTTAGATCGGGTTACATGCCGCAACATGTGTAATAAGGGTGGATTGATGTGGTGGAATAAGGGTGAATATATACTGTACGGTGGGATCGGGTTGCACGCTGCAACAAGTATAATAAGGGTAGATTGTTTTGGTGGAATAAGGGTGGATTATGATACCGATATTGTGATATGGTGGGATCGGGTTGCGCGCCGCAANGATGAGATCGGGTTGCGCGCCGCAATAACCTATGTGTTTATATTTCCCCGAGCTGCGTTAGTTTTACGGTACTTTCTTTTGACAGACAAGTCATAAATATAATAGTGGACATGTACCGGGCTCCAGAACCAAAATACGGACTCGGTATCAACAAGACCAAATATCAGTCAATTCTTAAAAAATATAAAACTTTCAAACTTTTAATTTTCAACAAAAATCAATAACTCGAGCTAGGGACCTACGAATTTGATTCGGGGCATACGCCCAGGTCCCAAATTACGATACGGACCTACCGAGACCGTCAAAATATGGATTCGGGTCCGTTTGCTCAAAACGTTGATCGAAGTCAACTCAAATAAGTTTTTTAAGGCAAAATTATTATTTTTATCAGTTTTTAACATATAAGCCTTCCGGAAGAACACCTGAACTGTGCACATAAATCGAGAAAGGCTAAAATGAGGTTTTTGAGGCCTCGAAACATAGAATTAGGTTCTGAAATCTAAGATGACCTATCGGGTCATCACAAAATCTCAAGCCTATTATTCTGCTACTATGTTTAATTCGTAGTATAAACACACATATGCTAATATCCTTTAGTATTCAGCTTGTCATACCACAAAACTAAATTCTATTTACTTTTCAATGTAACATGTTTCTTTACATGTTTTTTATGTATGAGGCATCAATTTCTGGGTGGAAGTATTATGGACCATTTATTGCTATTGATGGAACATTTCTAAAAAATAAATATAGAGGTGTTCTATTAGTGGCAGTTACAAAGGATGCAAGTAACGAGATTTTCCCTATAGCATTTGGGGTAACGGATTCAGAGAATAACGAGTCATACGAATGGTACATCAGAGAATTAAGAAAAGCAATTGGCATTCGTAAAGATTTAATATTTTTATAAGATCGACACAAGGCAGTTCCAAAAGTTTTCCCTGAGTGCTACCATGGT